GTGTGAGATTTTCAGAGATAAAAGTGGGAATTGGATCCTTTAACTGCGGGAAGTTTCAGTTTCAGACAGCGAAAAGTAGAAAACAAAGGTGAAAAAAGGCCATAAGAATCTGATGAAGAAGCCGATGAGAAGATGAAAACGCAGCAAAAGAGAAATAAAAGCAGTGGCGTTTTATAAGCCCGAGGCCATTGGATATTTCATTCCAAAAACACAAAAGGCGCCAAAAGTGGAAATATATTTCTATGTGGGTCCCATGAATCTTGTTTTTTATGTTTTAATTTCAATTTCTTAAAAGGCATTTGGGAAATAGTTGGTTGAAGTCCAAAAAAGAAAGAAAATTGAGGTTAAGCTATGGTGAAAAAAAGAGGTTAAGTTGAATAAAAGGATATTTAAAAATTGAAATATTCTTTAAAATGCATTTACATATTAATAGATTAACATAAAATTAATATAAAGCAAAAAAATTTATAGTAAAAATATAAAATATCATAGTTGAAGAAAAACTTATTTGATTTTTCAAATAATAGTAACATGGTTATGTTTTTTGGAATAAAAAGGAGTAACCTTTAACTTAACTACTAATTGAAGCTCGTCTGCATCTTTTTTTTCTTTTCTTTTTGTCTGAAAATGTGAGGGTGATGAAAATTGACTCAAATTCCTCTTCTTCTTCTTCTTTTTTTAATGACTTTCCCTATAAGATTTGAAGAAACCCCGTATTACAAAATGAGATATAGTACACTCAATATGCATGTTATTATTTGGGTATTAAGTAAAATTCGTTGTACTCTAACCCGAAACAATACACTCTCCGTTCCAATTTATGTGAATCTGTTTGACTGGGCACGGAGTTTAAGAAAAAATAAAAATTTTTGGAATTTGTGGTCCTAAACAATTCAAAAAGAGACCCAGAGTATTTGTGTGGTTATAAAAGCTTCTCATTAACGGTAGAATTGTAAGTTTAAGCAAAATTGTTTCCAAAACGGACCAAAAAAAAAATAGGTTCACGTAAACTAGAACGGAGGTAGTAACATTTTGCTAAAAAGAAGCTGGTACCTTAAAATTGAATAAAGTTCTTGAGAATAAATTCATAATTTAGCAAGAATTCTTATTGTCAACGGTACAAGACGCAGCGAAAATGATCATAATATAGAAAACCAGTGAATTTTGAAACCTGACGAATGGACAAAACCACACTACAATCCGTGCAAGCAAACAAGATTATAAGCAAACCTTTGGATTCTCCAAGAATCGCACAAGTGTTCGAATTCTATTTGGTGAAAATATGAACCAATAATTAAGAGCAACAGTCTATATCGAGTCTGAGGAGTTTTCCTTTGCTTCAAAACACAACGACTGAAACCTACTCTAGCTAGCTTCCTCTAGACATCAATAGTGCGGCAATTTATGGCTTCTTTTGTATTATTTCACATATGTACATGGTGAGAAATTTATAAAGATAGAATGGTACAAATTAATATCTACTAGTTGGAGCAAAGAATATATGTAAACGTATCAACAAGTTGAAATTATTAAGACTTTATATTGTTAATTAGGTTAAGTTTATTGTTTATGAAAAATCCTTTTAGTCGAGTTTAGATACTGTATACGGATAAAATCGAGCCCACTGAACACCCCGATTCGGTGAGGCAAACGGAATAGGAACGTGACCGTAATGAATCGGAGTCAGAGCGAGGAGTCCCTCGTATCGGGGCTCGGCAAAACACCTGCCCTCGAGGGTATCAGGGCCATGTCCTCTGGGTCTGGTTCGAGGATCAAGATTTCGGAGAGCATTACCAAACAACTGCACACGACTAACAAAGGGTCGTGATGTCCGTGCCCAACCGAATATCACGGCGTGAATCTCGGCCTGTATCGGCAGAAAATTAGTGATTAGCAAAACGAAAGATTTTTACCTTTCTTAGAATTATACTTAGGGTAAAACTTCCCTACTATATATAGGGGGAAGCTTATTATTCAAAAAAAAAATTGTAACACGCATACCAAGGCAATTTATTTTAATTCTCTTTGTTGTTAAAAGCTCTTATTTTTGTTCTTAAGTTCTTCGTAAGTGTAATCTTGGAATCGAGGGCAGGTTCCTCATTGAACCATCAATCGAGCTCGGAATCATTATTATCATTGGTTTGGCCATTTACTACGTCTTTTATTTGATTAATCTAACGTCATCAATCACTCGTATTGAATAAATCACATATCCTTAAAACCACATATAAATTAAATTGTTATCCATTTTTAGAGTAAACAATTTGGTGCCCACCGTGGAGCTAGGGATAATAGTGATAATTTGATACAAATTTCCATAACGCACTTTGTTTTATGATTGTTCTTTGAGATTTTAATTTCAGGTCAAATCAAAAATGTCAAACTCTCAATCTGCTCATTTGAACGTTGATGCTGAGTCTGGCCACCATGGCAAAAACAACAATGTACTGCCTAGCAACGAGGTGCCTCCCATTGACCCCAATGGAGTTCCGATCGCGGACTCAATCGATGCCAACTCACATGTAGCCATCAATGCAAACTTGCCTACCGACCCCGAAAACAGCGTTCGCGAGGGAGCCCGATCGATAGCTCGGGGTACACACGACGGCAAAGGCGATGGGATCAATTTACGGGTGATCTTCGAGATGTTAGAGGCTCAACAGGTGACGATAGCCCAGTTGCCCAACCAAAGTCGCGCCCCCAGCAGAATTGAGCTCGAACCATCTCGGGATAACACCCGCAGAAATGAACCAGCCACAGAAAGGCCAAGTGAAGTTCAACCCGGGACCAACCCCGAGATAATAAAGATGCTTGAGGAACTGACAAAGTGGGTGGAATCGGGGGAAAAGAAGATCAAAGCCAACGACAAAAAAATGGATACCTATAACTCCAGTGTTGATCAAATCCCAGGAGCACCACCGATACTGAAAGGCCTGAATTCCAAGAAATTTGTCCAAAAGCCTTTCCCTCCGAGCGCATCTCCGAAACCAATCCCAAAGAAATTTTGTATGCCCGAAATTTCAAAGTATAATGGGACCACGAATCCAAATAAACACGTGACCTCCTACACATGTGCCATCAAGGGAAATGACTTATAAGATGACGAAATCGAGTCGGTGCTGCTGAAAAAGTTCAGAGAAACCCTATCCAAAGGAGCAATGATATTGTATCACAACCTGCCCCCTAATTCTATTGATTCGTTTGCTATGCTTGCAGATGCCTTCGTAAATGCTTATGTCGGGGCCATCAAAGTCGAGACCAGAAAATCGGACCACTTTAAAGTGAAACAAAGAGATAACGAAATGCTCAGGGAATTCGTGTCGAGGTTTCAAATGGAAAGAATGAACTTGCCTCAGGTTGCGGACGATTAGGCCGTTCAAGCATTCACTAAAGGACTCAACCCCCAAAGCTCCTTGGCTTCACAACAACTGAAATAGAATTTGATAGAGTACCCAGCGGTAACTTGGGCTGACGTCCATAACAGGTACCAATAAAAAATCAGAGTCGAGGAAGATCAGCTCGGGGCCCCTTCTGGGTCCGTGTATCCCATCAGAACTAATGACAGGTCCAAAAGAGTCGTCGATCATGAACCAAGACCTAGAAGAGATCGGTATCAGTCGTATAGCGGAGATCAAAGGGGCAGCGGATCCGGACATAACCCTGTAAGGAATGAAAAAAGAAGCGATCGAGGTCACAATAGCCGGGGACTCATGAGCAAAAATGATTCCGACACGCCAATCGGGGCCAGGGAGGCACTAAGGTTATCGGAATACAACTTCAGCGTCGATGCTGCCAGCATCGTATCAGCCATCGGACACATCAAAGAAACCAAGTGGCCTCGGCCATTGCAGTCTAATCCTACCCAAAGAGACCCCAACCTGATGTGTAAGTATCATGGCACTCACGGCCACAAGACCGAAGACTGCAGACAGCTAAGAGAAGAAGTGGCCCGGTTATTCAATAATGGACACCTCCAGGAATTCCTGAGTGATCGAGCCAAAACTCACTTCAAAATTAGGGACTCCAACAAGTATACCGAGCAAGAGGAACCTCATCACGTCATCAACATGATCATTGGTGGAGTCGACATCCCCCAGGGGCCAATGCTGAAGCGCACTAAGGTGTCCATCACAAGGGAAAAACGGACGCGAGATTACATGTCGGAGGGAACCATCTCTTTCAACGATGAAGACGCTGAAGGCATCATGCAACCGCATAACGATGCACTGGTAATTTCTGTACTCATAAATAAATCTCGAGTTAAGCGTGTGTCGATTAATCCAGGTAGCTCGGCCAATATCATCAGATCAAGAGTCGTAGAGAAGTTGGGTATACAAGACCAAATAGTGCCTGCAGTTCGGGTCTTAAATGGATTCAACATGGCATGTGAAACTACTAAATGGGAGGTTACCCTCGGCAAAGATATTGTCTAAAAACATTTAAGCAAGCATCTTGGGGAAGTTTCCGATCACTCCGAGTTTCCACAAAGTTTCGAGCAAAAATTGCACCGAGGACAAGTCTTGTTCGGACCTCCGAAAAATGACTTATTACTACGTTTGATTCTGTGCTAAAGCATTAGAAATGT